TGAAACTACAGGATCCTTATTTGTCAATGATTTTTATGACGACGAACATTTATATCTGTTTTTTTCATGAAAATAAGAAGCGCATTATTTTTGATTCGGTTAATTACAACTTTTACAGAGACGCAATCCAATCTTTACCTGGCATACACTGGTAGATAACGACGGTGATTACACTGTGAATTACACCTTACTAACCATATGATCATGTAGCTTATTCAAATTTACTTTTATAAAATAAAGATTGTGGCTAGTCACAATGTGCCTCTAAGCTGTACCAGGTTGTATGGCATATATGGCTTATAGTTATGATCATGTGGTTGGTTAAAAATGGCGGGAAATGCAAAAAAAAACTGGTGTGGAACTGGTGCACTCACCCTATGATGTTTTAGTTGACTATAATTGCTAAACGAATTAGCATATTTAGATTACCGTAGAACCTTGTTAAATAATAGAGTTCGATCTTATAAGCAATAATAAATTTTTAATAATACTATGTTTCTTTTTATTTTGAGCTTATTAATAGATTCCCGATAATTTAAACTAAGTAATTGTTCTCAATTACAAATTGAAAATGAAACATTATTTGCTGTCCTTGATACTTTATTGAAGATGTAGTACAATTAACTTATTAAAAGAAATTTTAGAAGATATTTACAAGGTATTTGTATATAACATTAAGATTTAGGTAATACTTTAAAAATGTTTTAGTTTAAATACAATTATTAAATAAAACATATGAATAATATCAACCAGTAAAGTTTGATTTTTGGTGTTATATAACGAACAATATATTGTAATGAAATTAATGAATCTATATAAATGAGCACTAGAGGGAAACTATACAATTCATTTAAAGTTTATACAACTAATTATATGTAAATGATAATTTCTATAAAATTATTGCCCTAATAAAAAATTATATCTACGCCTTATAACGTGCACAACATTTAACAGTGATTAAAATTATCTATCAACTATAGAATTAATTCTAAACGAATGGAATATCTTAACATCGAAAAACTTATTACAACTCTTAGGATATAAACTTATTTGAAAATTTTGATATGCTTGATATTCTTGTTGATAATCAAGTTGTCGAACAAACTATTAATACTGTTATTAATATAATACGATTAATAAATTGAATGTGATATTTTGTCTTTCTAATATATAATTATAATTAGAAAGACAAAATAAATATATATACGAGGGTCAAACTGAAAGTTCTTAGAACTGGCCACTTATAAACAATATAATAAAAAAATAATTCTAAAATTTGAAAATATAACTCTTTGCCAATATTACTGAGTATATATTTCATTCATTTGTCATTTGTTTTACGATTTGGCGGCAAATTGAAAATTGTCTGTGTCACGTCATCATGAATTTAACACGAGAAAATTTTCGTGCAATGATTTTTTATGACTTTCGATGTCATTTAAGTCAACAAGAAAGTTATGATAGACTACGATTGGCCTTTCACGATGAAGCCCCATCTCGTGCGACTGTTTACAACTGGTTTAATGAGTTTAAACGTGGTCGCACTAATCTCACTGATGATTTACGTGAGGGACGGCCTTCTACGGCGACGACTGAAGATAACATCTGTGTTGTGCGGCGTATGATAGAGACTGACAAAAGAGTGACCTATCAACAGATTCGGACAAGCTTAGGCATCGGTATGAGTCAAGTGCATAAAATCCTCCACGAACATTTAGCGGTCAGGAAGCTTTGCGCCCGGTGGATACCTCATAATTTGACTGAGGCTCAAAAACTCCATCGTGTGGATTGGTGTCGTAAAATGATTGAAAGATTTAACGGAGGTGACTCAAATGCTGTGTTCGACATACTAACAGGTGACGAAAGCTGGATTTACTGTTATGATCCTAAAACCAAAAGACAATCTGCTCAGTGGGTGTTTCCTTTCGAGGAGTTGCCAACTAAAGTGAAGAGAGATCGAAGTGCGGGAAAAAAAATGGTGGCCTCGTTCTTTGGAAGGATAGGTCATTTTGCAACAATTGTGTTAGAGGATCAAAAAACAGTTTCTGCAGAATGGTACACTACCAATTGTTTGCCACTTGTCTTGGAAAAAGTTCGAGAGAAACGACCTCGCAGTAGGATCCTCCTTCACCACGACAACGCCTCGTCGCACACCGCCAAGCGAACGATCGACTATTTGGCGACATCAAACGTTGAATTACTGGGTCACCCGCCATATAGCCCCGACCTCGCGCCTTGTGATTTTTATTTATTTCCAAAAATTAAAGAAAAACTTAAAGGAAAGCGGTTTATGAATGCTGAAGAAGCGGTGGCTGCGTATCGCGATGCCATTGAAGAGACCCCTAAGGACGAGTGGGCAAAGTGCTTTTCCCAGTGGTTCCATCGCATGCAGCGGTGTATTGACGTGAATGGACAATATTTTGAAAAGATATAATAAAACTAATAACTGGCTAATGTAATCAGTTTTTGATTTTCTAAGAACTTTCAGTTTGACCCTCGTAGTAAATACTATAAATGTTGGCAAGAATCATTGTCTCTGTTCATTTAAGTGTGTAGAGAACACCGTTGAAAAAAAATTAATTCAAGTTTTGTTTTGTTATTAGTAATAAGTGGGATTTTTAATTATTTAAATAAGTTTAGTTAATCTCGTGGACTTCTCTGTCTTTCTGCATTTTTGAAACAAGCATTAAAAAGACCAGACGGTATGGTTCATGCCTTTAATTTTGTATGTGTCGAATATTTTCAAATGTATTGTATCTAAACATAATATAATACAAAGTTGCTTTCCGCTGTATGGACTGTCTGGACCGCAGTCTGGACGCTAAGATTTTTAAAATACACAAAGGACCACGCGGGCACGCGGACGAAGCCGATGACGTAAATATTATAAGCATTAATGTAAGTTACATTCAACAACTTAATATCATTGTTACAGCGTGTGCTTAAAATTGATGGTGTACTAATTTACGTTTATTATAAAGAGAATATCATATAATTCACAGTTCACATATGTTCATACCTAATTATTATGGATTTAATATACATATAAATATTCGTTGATCGATATTTGGATTGAGATAATACACCTTAATAAATGAATTTGCGTTTGCTCTAGCTACATTGGGAACCACGGAATTTATTCTATTTTAGAAAATTATCCTAAACGAAAAATTTATTTAATCACAAACGTCAATTAAAATTGTCATTAGCTTAAAACGACATTATCATTACAATTTTTCAAATTTAGAACAAGCTCTAATATCTTAAAGTCGCCATTAAACTTTAATGGATGTTTTTGCAACTGTCTGTTGGTTCTAAAAGAGCATGACGTGATATCAAATAAAATATAAACAAAGTGCTGCAAAAAAGAAGAATATAAAGTTTTTTTTTTATTATTAAAACAAGGAAATAAAAAAACTAGAAAAGGTAATTGAACGTTTTCAACATCACAGAAAATATTGGTTCACTGGTAACCTCATCTAAACTACATATAAAAATCATTTCAGTTCCCCAGGCGAAAGCTTTCCGATTCCGAAAAAAAACACTTTATTTCGCTTATAAAAAATTGAAATCAATAATTGAATTCCGTGGAGATTGCCCACCGTATCTAATTTTTATATATAACACGAGTGTTTTCATTCTTAAACTAAAACCAGATGTTAGGGTGTCCGGGGCAAGCGACCATGGCCTCTGTCTTATGTATTACCTATGGACATTTTATGCTAAATAGGTATTACTTAGACTTAACTTACTCTTCAGTCTTGGACGTTACGTTACTTAAATAGAATACTCCTAAAACCCGCGTCGAATTATTTTAATATCTCTCCGTATGATAAAATTATAAAATTGATTGTTTTTATTATTATTTTAAAGATAACATCAATTTATTGACGTGACATTTTTTTATAAATAATTTTCACTGAATAATAAATAACACACAAAGACACATATAGATTTTGTATGATTTTTGTATTCTAATATGTTATGAGTTTTGCTCTATAAACAATAAACTATTAACGATATTAACGCTACGAACGATTAAGAATTTAAAAAATATTTTAGGATATAATTTTATCTAATGTATGGGAGATTCTTGTCTACTAACAACAAAACACGTATAGGACCGAAACACGACATCTAAAAAGGGAAAGCGAAAATTTTACAACATTCATTCATCACTTTATACATTTAAAATTTATATCTAATCGTTTTCTATCATTATATAAAATTATTAGTCTTAGAAACGAAATTTCAAACAGTTAAAATATATTATAATCTGTATAATAAATGTAATAAATGTATATAAAGGTTGCACACAATACTTAATTACATATATAAAAATATATTGCTCAGGATTCCAGTGGGTCGGTTTTTAAAATCAGTGCGATATCTTGTTGTTGTATGAGGGTAACATAATATAAATTTCATTTGCCTACCTAATTTAATAATATTATTTTCCATTTGTAATCTGTTGTTCCCTTATGGTTGTTTTGGTAGGCAATACAGATCAAAAGAAATTTGCGTTTTGTTTACTCTTTTCTTTGAAATTAATTATTAAATTTTTCTAAATAAATATTTTATATTTTATTATCTTAATCTTTAAGCTAGATGTATACATAAATGATTTAAAAACCTTACGCGCTAACTTTAATGTCTATTGATATGTAAAGTTACATTGATATGTATTTGATCACAACGTTATCGTACGTTCATCACTGTTCTTTTTTATTTTGACTGTGCAAAACTGAAATTTTAATATGATATAAATAAAGCTCATTTCGATAATGATAATTATGTCACAGTCAAAATGGTTATCCGTTGAAAAAACGAACTTGACACTGAAAAATTTTGATCTAGCGTATAATAATTGTCTTGACTAAATCTCTATTTAAACTGTTTAAGAATTTTATTCGACAAGCTGAATCTAGTTAATTCTACTGACGATAAATAAAAATAGCTCAATTATGTCCGATCAAATGAATTAAGATATAAAATAATTTTCAATTTTGCACTATGTCACCGTGATGTATTAGACTGTGCCGTTATTCATAGCTTTTAAAAATTCTGTTAAGTCAGTCACGAACTCGATGGCGATAGCAGCGGTGTGACGGCATAAAGTTTCGATTAAATAAAACCTTTATTACCTTTGAAGTAGATTTCATTTGATTGAACTTTTATGCTATGACAATACGGCGATCGACGTCCAATTCGAGGGTGTTTTTATAACAAAACAGCACTGCATATATCTTTTGCATTCCCTAATCTTCGGGCCATCCTAAATCTTCACCAACGAGGTCGTAAAATCTCTGATTGTGTTGAATGAAGAACTTTCTTAATTTAGTGACTACTGCTGGATCCACGCGAGGATGTTTTCTACCTTTCGTCTCTCGGAGGCATTTGTCTGTGGTATCATTTCGTAGACAGTAGAATCCTTTTGTTTCATTGAAGTAGAAGTTTTTTCTCCCTGTTGTAATAAGAAAAGATGTGTCATGCTATGTATGCAGCAGTAGGTACAAACCTAAATGATTGTACGTGCTAATGAGATACATTGAAGTCTTGGATTTACATGATTCAAGATCTTGCTTGACGATTGATAATCAGCTGAATAATCTCTAAAAGGAAATATGAAAACATGAGACAAAATTGCTTACCAATTTTATGCTCGAGGCCAAGAAACTTCTCGATGCGCCTGAGTTGTGGAACCGGGTCTTCAATTAGCAAATCACCATTCACTACCAAGATTTGCTCTCTAGGGAACACCTCTAGCCACCGATGAAGGTATGCGTGATATAATGAGATCGCTATTGGTCTGCAAATAATTATTATAAATATAGCAGTTATTGACAATCACTCTTGGCCAATGCTTAGATAAAAATTTAGTTATCTATGTTAAATAAGTAGTTATGAAACGTTACGTTGTAGAACGGACGTAGTTATGGAAAACTTACGTAGTTATGGAATAATGTACCGATACCGGTAGGTATTGATGCTACAGAGCAGACACAGACATATGCTAAAAAGAGATAAAATAATGCACCTTACAATGGCGTATAAATATAGAACCTAATATAACCTTTTCTTATTGTTAATTCTATGACCTATAAGGGAAGCTTATTTTATCCACCATTTAGCCTCGCTTCGCTTTAGCGTCCTCACTATTATCGATCTATTTTAGCTTAAAACACATTTAAATTTAAAGGATTTTGTTCACAGAATTACTTTTTATTCCCGCGGTGGTAACATCAGTTAGGAACCACTGGTATAGAAGGCAAGGCTGAGAAGGTTTTTATTTCTGGTTATTAACGAAAAATACCTATAAGCTACGTTGATGGATCCGTCGGGAGAGATAGCCAGATGCTCGAATGGCTTGGTGGCGTCTGGTAATGTGTGACCCGGTAACGCTGGCTGCGCGGGCGCAGATGGTGTTGCGCGGCTTCTTAGCTGCGTGTAATCGGAGATGGCGCGAGTGACTGGTTCACGAACTATCAGGAGGAGACGCACGGAGGAGTTCATAGCCCTCACTCGTTCTGGCACCTTATTGACAACACATACAGTTTAAACATACATCACAATCGCTTTTAAGCCGAATTAACATTAGGAAACGAATTTTTAAATTGGTTTTCTAATATAAATTGTCACAACGTGTAGTTTAGTCACTAGCGAAACTAGCGTCATGCAACTAATTTCACTTTGATATACGTAGCGGAATTAGTGTCGCGACATCATCTGCGCATTAAAAACTTCTATGTTGACGGAGCCAGTGCCTAAAGGATACTGTTGTTATTATTGGTTATTGAAATTAGTTTCGTGAAACTTGTTTTATACATGACACTAATTTCGTAATGTAAATTCGACTTTACTCAAGCGTGTTTTTATAACAGCCCAGTAAGCTATCTATTTCTTTGTAATAGGAACTTAATACATTTTCGGACTGTAGTATAAGATATAAATAAACACATGGTACACACAGCTGCATGTTAGGTTACTACAATATGACAAATATTTGCAATGTATTTTACTTCTACCTTTAATATATCAAGGATTAAACTCGAGTGGTGAAATTTGACACTTTTGTATATTGCTTATAAGGCAGCTCGGGATTTGCATCACCGTTAACTGCACGAAACAAATCACGAGTTATCATCAACTCTACTGTAGGCAACATTATAAGATTTTTATTCAATAGATATAATTTTTACATGAATAATTTCCAAACCTCGGGAGTGACGAAGTAACTAGGGCTCTTTTCAATGGTGATCTGCCCCTTGAAGGACAGTGGCATCTTGCTTCTATACCATTCCAATCCAAGTGCGTAGTTCTCGTCGCGATCGAAAAAGTGAACTTCACCTGAAGCCTTCTGGACCATAGGATGTAGGTATAGCATTTCTAGTAAAGCCCTCGTACCGCATTTTCGGACGCCGATGATTAAAGCCTAGGAAAAAGTAGAACAGTTAAGATCGATATTATAAATACTAAAACTTTTATAATATTAATATTGATAAATTAAACAACATTTAAACGGTTTCATCGTGTTTGTTTTTCGGAATCTGTAAAGAGTCCAACATTAATACGAGTAATTTTAACAAATTTGTAATGCAGGTAAATGAAGAAGTGATTATTTATATCAAAATTCCAAAAATATATTATACATCAAAAAAATAAAATCAGTGTTGCCATTACTGTAAATTTTGTTTCTCTTTAAATTTTAACCTACAAACATTGGGGATGATGAAGAAAAGAGACGTATATAAACACGAAAATGTTAGTTAATGTTAAAATATTGATATTTAAATTAAAAAAAAAAAAGGATATTTGTTCTTCGTAACTAACAACGGTATTAATTCATAGAAAAATAAAATGTTCACTGATTACAAAGGAGATCGAAATCGGTGGGTCAAAATGTGATAAGTTATAAAAAATATTAGTTTTTATTGTATTTAAATGTACTAAATTCACCTAAATTCTCTTAGAAATCTGAGAAAGTTCGAACTCATGAATACATTACTATTAAAAATGTTTAATTTTGTACCTCATAGCTATGACTAAGAACGCTTTTTAATTATTTAGGACATGGTAATATACTTTTTATTTTTGTTTATTATCAACAATAATAATAAGTTTAATTCTATTTACGATAATTAAAGCTTTCAATCTATCAATTCACATCATTTACGCCTTATTACATTCGAGCCCGAGATTATATGTAATCGTTTCAATATCCTTATTCCTGTATAACTCAATATTGAGAAAAATGTTGCTTGGATCAATTAGTTTTTCAACCATAGATATTGCGTAATAAGAACTTAGAAATATAAAAGTTTACTTTATTACTTCATTGACCGGTTACATTATAATAGTATTAGATAAATGATAAGTCACGAGTTGAATGAGAAACTAACTTGAATAATGTGAAAATGATGACTTTATAGTATAGGCGTAGGAAATGAGCAGTTATTCAATATAAATATATATAAATATATATATATATATATATATATATAATTATAGCTAACTTGCTCAAAACTAGAGAGTGGTGCACTAAGAACCTTCCCCATGTCGCTCGAGAACGTTTTGTCTACCTACACCCGAATGTCACTTCTACCGAGTAACGTTTGGTGAACACAAAGCGTTTATGGGTTTTGTCATGCTACGCGTACTGGAAAATATCTCTGAATACGCCTATAATCTTTGGAAATCAAATGTAAATCGTAAAACTGTCCAAACTTTATCTTTTTTTAAAAAAAATATGATACTTATACGGTTTTTCTGTGTACACAGTACCAATTCATTAATAATACTGAGTAAATATGTAATGAACGTTGAATAAATATGATGAATATCCGCATTCAATATGTATATATTTTGTTATAACTTATAAAATTAATAATATTAAGTTATTACAGCTATATCAGAACTTAGACTTAAGACTTCATAGAATTATCACTGATGAAGGTAATAACAGTGGAAGATTCATTTTTTTACAGCAATTGATTCAGTCTTTTTATATACCTACATTTTGGAACTTCGTTTGCAGAAGTATGTCAACTCATTAAGCGCTCGCATCATAAAACTTGTAGCTGAAATTACACTGAGACTGTTATACAAGAGCAAATTTTATTCGTTCCACTTTCTACGACAATACTATACTTTTGTAGAGTTCCAATTTAGCTCTCTCAAATGGGTGCTCCGACGGTTAGCTTCAGAATAGGACTTTAGAATTGACTCGCGAACTTATGCATATTGTTAGTGCAATGGAATCATAGATGATATTCGACGCTACTATTTTTATAACATACTTTTCATGATTCAATACTTAATAAAAAAAGATATCACATTGATTGACAAAGACCGTTCGATTTGAAAATAATAAAATTGATATATCTAAAAGTCTGGAAAATATAGATTAGTGTTGTGTCGTATTTATTTTGTTATTTTAGATTAGTAGAAAAGGTTTTATTAAGATTTGGTTTTTACGTAAAGATTTTTATACTTTACGACGTTCCAGTTACATTATCATCCAATTGCATAAACTTCGATTAAAATTGTCTTTAGTTTAGAGCCATATTACCTATAAAAAATTTCAAATGTAAAACGTTCATTAGAGCTTGCATGCATGTTCAATGCAATGGAAATAAGTAAGATAGCGTAGATTGGCTCCCTGTTGCATAAACGTTTCTTCAAAGTTTGAGGATGACTAATGGAGCTCTATGAATGTTCTTTAAATATTTGTAACGGTAATTTCGCTTTAAACTATTTAATTGTCGTTTGTGCAACTGGATATGAATTTTAACACAATTTAATCATGATAAAGGATTAAGTGTCTGTAACTTATTCTGTAACGGATTTGATGAATTATACTTTCTAATCTCATTTAAAAAAAAAATAATGAAATGGGCCCAGCTCAACAACTTAGGGGGCGTCCATAAATTACGTGAGGTGTTTTTTTTAATTTTTCTGTCCTCCCCCCCTTTGTGAGATATCGTGAGATTTAATTCAACCCCCTCCCCCAATCTCACGTAAGATTTTTCAAAATGTGTGAAATAAAAATAACAGACCAATACTTCCATAGCATAGAAGCCAAATTAAAGAGTAAAAGTATATATATAATAGGGAAATGAAAAGGTTTTATGTTGAAACGCCAAATGCAACGCCTATATTATATAGTATATACTTTTTGGAAAGAATACTCGATACCAGCAATTTGATGAGTACCTACTTGCGAGTATTTACCTTGTTGTAGTATCGAGTTTCGCTTTTGAAAAGTATCGTTCGAACCCTACAAATATGGTGGTTTGACATTCAGTAGATGTAAATGGGAATAAAAGCTGTAATGAATGTTCCAAATTTGATTTTTTATGGCTAATGTGGCTTTAATCTATTGTCATTTTTAATAGCAATTGGCTATTGAAGAGGTATATTCCTTTTATTCTCCAAAATATTCGTTACTTTAATCTTGATTTAGAGCGGTAGAAATAATTGACGATATTTCGTGTCTTTAAAACCAAGCAGATTATTAAAGTTATTGCGTTCTTATCTGTACTAGTTGGTAACTCAAATGCTATGTAATCATTTGGTTAGAAAACACATTAATCGTATATGCTGTACTGAATTGATGACATGGCAGATACTTGGTAGGTCACAACAGCCACTTTATTACTCTTACTATTCATCATTTATTTTCATATTGAATGAATATAAATTAACGTTCAGCTCGTAGCGTGTATTTAATGAATTTACAGTTTTATCAAATTGTGAGTACATTTTCAGTGAGGTGTTTTTTTTAGAATTGCACATACGGAGTTATTAATCGGAGTTATTGTAATATGGACTTAATATTATCCAATTAAAACTGCGTTCTCATTCAACTAAACTTTTCTAAGTCCGGTAGTTAATATTGGTATGGTATGGTTGTGTGGTTTTAAATTCTGTAAACAATTAAGATGATAGAAGTGAAAATAAATTATTTGTTTTCTGACGAAGCAATGGAATAATTTATAATCCAAATATTCACTTTTCAATTTACTTTATAAAGAATAACAGCAGAATTGATTATCCTAAATGATTGTTTTTTTAAGTTGTTCAAAATTCAGATCGACCTCAGTAAAAAATATAATAAAACGTCCCCTCTGCAGGAGCTCAGACCTTCCTTATGGATGGTTAAGGAGGATGGGCCATGACCCTCCACGCTGGCCCAATGCGGATTGGAGGGTACTTAATAAAAACTCAGTTAATATTAATGAATACCTGTGGAAGTCTCCGCGCAGGTCTTGGTTGCTTCGGTGGTCGTATTCTCTTTCTCAACGCCATCGGATGATTGATAGTTCTACTGTTGGAGTCCTGGTTTTGCATCAACTTGCGATTCTCGTTCGCTGCAGACACCATACTGGCCGCCTGATAATGAAATACATCTCTTTACATATAATTGAATTACGCCCACTTGCATAAAGGTCCACTAAATTGGACCAGTCATTAATCGTTAATACCCACCGCTCAGACCAAATAAAAAGTATAGACGGAGTTTTGCCTATCAGAAAAGTGAAGCCGGCAAAACTACGCCTCGGCGTATTCGTACACAGTTTCACGCACACATACATAACGAAACTACGCCTTCCATATCAGTCTAACTAAAAACAGTATACGGAACGTTTCATTATAAAAAAAATCAAAAATTTCTTACTAACTGCCGAATTGTGTAGTAAAAGGTTGTAAAAACCAATCCTCAAAAAATAAAAAGCAGGATGGAATCACATTTCACACATAAGTATTGGAGAAAATTACATTTTCAGTAATTTAAAAATAAAATTTTAGTAATTGCTTGGAACACAAAACCTCAGCCAAATATTACCATCGTTAAACGTTATTATTTACCCCGAAATCAGGTAACTTTAATTTTATAACGTGTTATTTCTAACAAAACACAAATTACGTTATGTATTTTTTTCTTGTTGTATGGAAATGATATTTAATAAATTTTGCATTCAAAATGCTACATAGAGGTCCAGATCACAGATATTGAAGTGTTAGAATAAGGAAGTAAAAAATAAAAAACGGGTTTAATTTTTTACTTCTTTATTTTCACTAAACAGGTTTGCATACATTTTTTTCATTTCCAAACCGACATCAAAATTTGAAAGAGAAGTGGATTTCAGTCATTCGTAATAGTCGAAATGAACCTTCATGGAATCCAATTTCGCGCAGCGTAGTTTGTTCGACTCATTTTAAGAGCAATGATATGTATTATACTATAAAAGGGTTACGTCGAATAAAGCAAAACTTATATCCAAATGTTTCAAACTTTCTATAAATAAAAATTTTAGATAACATAGTGGAAGTTTTCAAACTTAACTTAAAATTAATTAAATAGTCTCTCTTATGTATGACCTC